ACTATCTAAATAAACCTATCTTTAATAATAATAATAATAATAATAAAACTGTTTAGATGGAAAAGAAAGGGAGGGTGATGAATTATCCCCCCCGCCCCAAGTTATCTTTTAATGATTTTTTTTCCTTTCTAAATCCAGACAACTCATCTTGGAACAATTTCAACTTCGCTTTCCTTATATATTTATATTTCGTTCATTGAATTTCTTTGTCTTTCGTTTACACTATATTTCTTCTTGTTTTTTTTTTCTTTTTGCTTATTCTTTTTTTTTCTTTATTCCAGACTTTATATTGTCTTGTTGAATAAAAAAAAAACCTAACGTTGATCTGGTCCCTGCTTGCAATTATTAAACAAAAAGAAAGAAAAGTGCCGTCGAAAGAATTCTATTTCCGGACAGCAGAGAAGCCATTTGAAATTTGAAACTACACAGTATCTCTTATAGGAACATCTGACGATGCATCTTCAAATGGAAGTCATGGTTTGTTAATGAAACAAGAGAGCGATAACGTGATGCGTCATCTGGGAATAATATGTTTACCACACACAGGAGATAAGAAAAATATTTCAAATTGTTACAAATGTCACCTTTTTGATACGGCCAATCTTTAGATCCACGATAAACAAACGGTATTATTACGAAAGCGTGCTGAAAAGTTCTAGGTTCGACACACTTCTTAAAAATCAATAATACAATGACTAATACCGTTTTGTCTTGTAATTTTTTATTTTATTTTATTTTTTTTTTTTTTTTTTTTTGTAATAACCAACAACTGATGTCAAGAACACCCAAGACAATTTTGGACATTAAAAAACTAGAAAAAGACGAATGAACTAAATATACTGCATAGCAATCGATAAAAGTTACAGAAATGAAGTTCTACACTCTAAGACATCCCCACATAACCACTGTGGAAAAAATAACCTCCAATTATATGCAAGCTTATGATAACTAACTCTAGAACGATTCAATTTTAAAAAGAAGTCCCCAGATGTTAAAAACAAAATATAAAACCTTAGAAAAGGTCAGTCACTCAAAATAAATTACCTTCAAGGAAGCACTATTGAAATTGGCGAAAAAGGTGATCCAAGGGGAAGACAGACAAAAAAAAAAGCAGTGGATGACAGATGAAATTCTCGAACTAATGAAAAAGAGAAAAGAGATGATAGATGATATAGGGTACGAAACAAATAAGAAATAAATGAAAACAATAATGTTCAGAAATAGACATACATAAAAAATTAATAGAAATAACAAAATAGAAAACGTATTCTTCGACAGGATCTAAAGGAACGTTCATAAGAAAAAACAAAAGACAATACGACGATGGATCGAATACATCGGTGAACTCTTCCATAATAACAGAAACCTACAATTCATAAAAACATAGGACTTGTATTAAAATCTGAGGAAAGGTCGTTACGTGCCATGGTGAAATGAAGCAAAGCAGATGGAATTTTAATATACTGTCAGCTTTAGACGATTTGGGGATTGATAAGATTAACGAAATAATAAATAAAATATATGACAGCGGTGAAATACCAGAAGACCTGAACTGATTTACCTTCATAGTGATGCTAAAGAAGCCAGGTGCAAGTAAACGTGACTTACTATGCCATATAACTCGATTTATCCTTAGAATTCTCAGTTTAAGTCATAGCAGAATTGGACCGTAAATAGGACATAGATAATGTGGCTTTGTTTAAGACAATGAAACAAGAAATGCTATCTTTATGGTCAGAATACTATCAAAGAGAACAATACAAATGTAAAAACTATACGTATGTCTCATAGATGACGCAAAAGCATGTGATAAAATATGACACAAGACCTACTTGAATAAAAGGAAATAGAATAGCTTTATATGGGAAAATATGATATAAGCTGTTTTATTTATAATTATTTATAATTCTATTATAATATTTATATTATATACTTATAATTTTATTATAATATTTATATTATATACTTATAATTTTATTATAATATTTATAATTATTTTATAATTAATTGTATTATTTATAATTTTATTTAATTTATAATTTTTTTATTTTATAATTTATTTTATAATTTTATTTATTTATAATAATTGTATTATTTATAATTTTATTATTTTATTTATAATTATTTTTATAATTAATTGTATTATTTATAATTTTATTTAACTTATAATTTTTTTTATTTTATAATTTATTTTATAATTTTATTTATTTATAATAATTGTATTATTTATAATTTTATTATTTTATTTATAATTATTTTTTATAGTTATAAATTTTTGTGTGCATTGGAGGATTTTTATTATATGTGGAAGATGAGTATATTGGCATTCTTTTCGGTTGCATGGTGAATATGAAACATTTTGAAGTTAGTATGTAAAATTAAAGTTACATCCTCTGCAAATGCCAGGGTCGTATATTTTTTTAACTGTAGGCTTTACGAATATTGGTGATATGAAAAAGTGCGTCTTATAGATTACATAAAAGCACCAGAAAAGGGTGCGATACCAGAAGAACTACTCGTAATACTAGAGAAGCTTGATTTATTTAGGAAAGATAGTTGAGTAATCCATAACTTTTACCGGGAACAAATAGCCTACATGCGGATAGAGAACAAGTTCAGTGAATACATTAAAAACTAGAAAGAAAAATAAAACAAGGACGCGTCTTCTCGCCGGATTTATTTAACATATACATTAGAAGAGAAGTAGATGACCTACCAGGATTTATTGCCATCGGATATAAACGTAATGTAAGATATGCGGATAACGATGTGGTAGTAAACGCAAAAGTAAGACTGAAAGAATTTTACACAAAGTTTGTAAAAGAAATCAGAAAGAAAAGAATAACCATAAAATGTCAGAAGAAAGAAATCATGATTGTCAGTACAAGAGACACTCTAAGATTCCGTGCTACATATTGGGAATGTCAAAAGCAAGCAGGTACAGTAATTCAGTTTTAAAAAAGACGTCTTCAGATGTTAAAAGCAAATATAAAATCTTAGAAGAGATCAGTAACTCAAATCAAAATACCTTACGAGAAGTACTATCGAAATTGGTGAAAGAGATGATCCAAAGGGAAGACAGACAAAAAAAAAAAAAAAAAAGAAGTGGATGACGGATGAAATTCTCGAACTAATGATAAAGAGAAAAGAGGTAATTCCAAAGAATGGTAGATGATATAAGGTACGAAGCAAATAAGAAAGAAATGAAAACAATAATGTTCTGAAATAGACTAAGATAATAGAAATGTCAGAAGAGAAAACGTTATTCTTCGACAGGATCTAAAGGAACGCTCATAACAGACGACAGAAATGTGGCACAGAAATCCGAAGAAAATGTCGTTACGAGCAAAGAGGGTCGAACTACTAAGCAATATCTAATTTCGTGAATACCAGTGAATACTGAAAAATAACATGACACAGTACTGATAGCAGACACGGAAAAGAAAAAAATGTATAAAACTGAGGCAATTCTAAACGAAGAAAAAGTGTTTCAAACCAGTACTAGAAAATTATACCTAATAAAGTGACCGGTATATATATATATATATATATATATAAGTGTTCATTGGATAGGGAGTGCTGCACAGAAGGAATCATTTAGACTGCTGAGGTCAGTGATAATAATGGTTTCAAGGAAATATACGAAAATTAAACGGAAAAGAAATTACAAAACCACGTACAGAAGGTAGCGATGGAGAGTGAGAAGAAAGGACTAAGCATAAACTATAAAAAGATAGAATGCATGGTCATCATTGAAAGGAAGAACCCAAAATGTGATTTACAGGTCGGGGACACTTAAATCAAGCTAAAAAAAAAGATACACTTACATTCGTATTTATTATATCAAAGGAGATGAGATATTGAAAGTTAAAGAGTTGTGTCCCTTTAATTGAAAAATGCTACACAATGACATTTGCATTTATTATATATAAACGTATGTGTGTTCGGCTACAAGTAAGTATTAAGGTTTCAACAATAGCAGCCGAAGCAGAAAAGACATGGCAAGCAGCAGTAACAGCAACACTCATCAGCAGGCAGATTAGGTTTAAGGCTCCAAGTTTTCCATTCATTCTCCCACGAGACAACAGCCTAATGACATAGTAATTGTAAATTTAATCAAGGAGCCGGGTATTATCGGGTGGTACTCGGTGGAAGCAGGGTAAGCAATAAACACCGTAGATTAAACAAAGGTTACCCGGATCATCAAGCACCTGAGGGATGCCAAGGGTTTGTGGGAGTAGGAAGGACGTCAACAGAAAGGTTGTGATAATAACATCGAAGATGAAGACAATGGTTCACATGTAAATAAAGGAAATGTGTAGGTAATAAGCGATATAATTATGAAACCACCGCCTAACCGGTTTTCAATAGAGAATTATGTTTTCTTCTTGTCTGAATGTCAACCAAGGTTAAAGAACCCAGACTACGTTGCTATAGAAATTATTTTTTTTAGGTGGTGGGGAGAGAAGAGATGAATTCAAATGAATAAAGAGAAAGAAAAGATTACAAAAATCAAAGGAAGCAAAGGAAGAACGAAAGAAAAATTAATGAAAATTAAAGAAAAATACAAAAAAAAACGAAGGGCAATAGAAAGTAGATTGAATGAAGAAAAAGAAATACTAAAATTAAAAGAGCAAAGAAAGAAAGAAAGAAAGAAAGAAAGAAAGAAATACTAAAATTGGAAAGCAAAGAAAGGGACAGAAAGAAAGTGAAAGAAAGAAAGAAAGAACATTGAGAGAAAAAAGGGAAGCAAAAAAAAAGAAAGAAAAAAGGAAGTAAGAAGGAAAGAAACATATACAAAAGAAAAAAAAAACGTTGAAGGAAAAAAGAAATACTAAAAGTGGAAAACAAAGAAAGAAAGGAAGAAAGAAAGAAAGAGATACAATAGAAAGTAAGAACGTTGAAGTAAAAAAAAAACTGAAATTGGAAAGCAAAGAAAGAAACAAAAAGAAAGAAAGAAAGGCAAAAGGAAGAAAGAACGTTGAAGGGAAAAATAAATACTAAAATTGGAAAGCAAAGAAAGAAAGAAAAAGAAAGAAAGGAAAAAGAAATAAAGTAAGAATAAATAAATAAATAAATAAATAAAGAAAGAAAGAAAGAAAGAAAGAAAGAAAGAAAGAAAGAAAGAAAGAAAGAAAGAAAGAAGAAATACTAAAATTGGAAAAAAAGAAAGAAAGAAAGAAAGAAAGAAAGAAATACAAAAGAAAGAGAACGGTGAAAGTAAAAAGGAAAGACAAATAAATAAAGAAAGAAAGAAAGAGATAAATACAGAAGAAAGAAAGAACGTTGAAGGAAAAAAACAAAGAAATACTAAAATTTGAAGAGCAAAATATAAAGTGATAAAGAGAGAAATACAAAAGAAAGACAAAAAGAAAAATAAATGAATGAAAAGTAAAGAATGAATACAAAAATCGAAGAGCAAAGAAAGAAAGAAAGAAAGAAAGAAAGAAAGAAAGAAAGAAAGAAAAACAAAAATTGATAAACAAAGAACTAAATATCCAAATTATTAGTACTGTAGTGCCATCATATAACAACGACCCGGAATCTAATACAATCGACACAGTGCCCCATAAAAAAAGAAAGAAAAAAATGTCCTGATCGATGTTATCATTTCATGGCATCGTTGGGGCCTGACTTGATGCAACTTCACGAAAAAAAAAAAAAAACCTATTCCAATGACATCGCCCACGCGTTTTGGCGTTGCTTGGCCGTCTGAAAGAGCAGACTTCCTTTGTTAGTGGCAAAAAGATTAACTCCAGACAAGGAAAGTGAACAGATGATTAACATATCTGTTAACGGTTTTTACTACGAGTTCCGTGATAAAACACGGTTTGTAATATCGATCAGCAAAAAGAAAGGTTACTTAGCTCGAACTTGTTTGTCTTTGTTTACGTAAATGCGTGGCAACGATTGTCCCTTTTGTGCAAGCAAGATCTAGTCATAAACCTCAGATTCATGATTTGTAGGGGTGGGAGGCTGATAAACAGTAGTTCTTTGACAAGCAGTCTTTTACTTGAGAGTATTTCATCGTACCTTCTTTTTTTTTTAGTTAATCAGGATTGTCGTATTCATCTGGCATAGAGCCAACGTTCTTTCTTTTTATTAAATTTATTCTTAAAATGCTTCAGAAAACTGTGTTTATACTTTTCGATTGAAAGATGTATGTCTCTCTATTTTGTACAATTTCCATACAAATGATAATGGTAGGTGCAGAAATTGATCATAAAGGTCAGAAGTAAAAATAGCCCCCATGTTAAAATGAAAATATCTCTTGGTCATTTTACACATGAATATAATGAAGTAAAAGGAATAAAATATTTATCTCAATATATTTTAGTCTTGAACATTCGAGTGGGATACTTTTTACCGAAATACGAAAACTTTTCACTTTCCATGCATTTGCGATCGTGTGTGTTGGTGTTGAAACAGATAGATAGATAGATAGATAGATAGATAGATAGATAGATAGATAGATAGATAGATAGATAATAGATAAAGAAAGAAAGACAGAAAGAAACAAACAAACAAACAAAGGAAAGAAAGAAAGATCGACGAATAGGAAAAGAAAGAAAGGGACAGAAAGAAAGAAAACGATAGATAGATAGATAGATAGATAGATAGATAGATAGATAGATAGATAGATAAAGGAAGAAAGTGAGAAAGAAAGAAAGATGGATTGGAAAAGAAAGAAACAAAGGAAAGGATGAATGATTGATAGACAGGAAAAGAAAGAAAGAATAATTGGTGGATATAGAAAGAAAGAAAGAAACAAAGGAAAGAAAGAATGATTGACGGATAGGGAAATAAAGAAAGAAAACGAAAGATAGATAGATAGATAGATAGATAGATAGATAGATAGATAGATAGATAGATAGATAGAAAGTTGGATTGGAAAAGAAAGAAACAAACAAAGAATAGATAGATAGATAGATAGATAGATAGATAGATAGATAGATAGATAGATAGATAGATAGATAGGAAAAGAAAGAATGATTGATAGATTGGAAAAGAAAGATAGAATGATTGATAGACAGGAAAAGAAAGAAAGAAGAATTGGTGGATATAGAAAGAAAGAAAGAAAGAAAGAAAGAAAGAAAGAAAGAAAGAGGAATATAGATAGATAGGTGGCAGACATTTTAACATTGCCTTCAGTCTAAATGAAGGAAGCGCCTTCGATCGACATGACGCCCAATAAAGCAGCAGATTCACTGCTATTTGTACTGCTCCATCTCCATCACAAAGAAGACCCACACGCTTTGCTTCACAGGCACAAAATGGATCGACTGCACAGAACCGTATCGTAACTTTTCTCTGCTATGTTTAAGTAGGCGACTGAGCCGCAAGGTCACTTTGCGCTGTTCAGGCTAAGATTTCTTCTGTAATTAATTTTAGATCATGACAGCTAATCTTTTAATCAAAGCTTACTGTTTTAGATTTATTTAAAAAATGTAATTAACAAAGTGAATAAATAATGTGAGAGAATACTTGTTTCGATATATCTTTATGCAAAGATCCCTCTTCATAAAGAATAGATGCATTTTCCCCGGCATATAAAATCGTTGTAGTGACTTGCAGGATAATTACCCAAGCTAAGGGGTGTTATACAGCCTTGTGCAAATTAATTGAAACAAAACGAATAATTTCGTTATGATTTCCTTTTTTTCGTATTTTTCCAATGAAACATGACCCAGTGCACATATTAGTACTTCGTATGTTCATTCTACGAAGTCTTTCCTTGCATATTGACCACAGATTCTCGATTGAGAGTTTCCGAGCCAGTCGATATTACTTTGATTTGCTCACTGGTAAGGCTTGCTACTGTGTTCGTGCAGCGTTACATTTTTCGTACACTTTCTTGGTGTAACGTCCATCACAGACAATGGCCGTAGGACAACTAATCGACAGTCGAGACAATAGTCCCTGGGCTTGATGAAAATCTGATGCAATCATGGATGACGTAATATTTTTTAAGTCCAAACAAATTTCATCATACACCTCGAAAATAGATTCATATTACTACACCACTGCAAATGACTTAATTTAAGAAAAAAGTAGAAATCGATTATGCCCTGTCAATCCAGTTGTTCTAAGACTGATCTGATGGTGAAAGAAAGGAAACTAAAGCCGTTGTTTCAATTAATTTGCACAGGTGTGTATATGCATATATGATGAAAAGTTCACTAATCGATCCATTTCTCAAAATTTGACAAAAATAAATATCAGAATTCCAAGGGAATTCATTTTGGCCAAGCCAAGAAAAAAATCTGTCTCTCTTGTAAAGAAACAAATAATTCTTTGATAACCCCTTATGGAAACATCAAGTACTCAGATATTGGACAAATTATATATAAATATGTACCAAGAAAATGATCCGAAACATTTTTAAAAACTTAACAATTTCCCTTATTTGATAAATGAAAAACTGCTTCCCAATACAATTTTTTATCGAATTCACCCCAAGCAAGGCAGTAAAGCCACTAAGACACAAGGAGTTACTGGGAGTGAAAGAATTAGAAAATAGAAACATTAGTATGGAGGAGAACAATATAAGAGTAATCAGAAAGACAGTAGATAACGACTGATATTGCATTTCAATTTTTGAAGATCATGGAAAGTATGTGTCCAGAAGAGAAGTACGAGAAAAGAAACTGTTAGCATAGAACTTACGGTTGCATCTAGCCAATTCAACCATAAATTGATGAGACCTTGCTGCCAATCTAGTACTGCGCTTAAATTCATAAAGTCTAGGTACGATAAATATTTATAGTAACGGCACAGGGAAGTAAATTTATAGCAGTGACTGAAGCCGAGATGCCAGGTCAGGATCAATAATATTGCTGATTCTTCTTTGGATTTCGTCAAGAATCTCTAAATGTATAGCAGGAGCACCGGACTACATGTGACGACAATATTCGAAGCATGGATGAATGGTAGACATATAGATATGTAAGATACATTCTGGAGAAACAAATTGTCTAGGACGGAACAATGAACCAACTTTCTTAGCAGCAGACCTAGCAATGGATTCAATATAGTCTTCAATATATCAACCGAGAATTTTAGCTCGAGAAGGCGCAACAAATTACTCTCCTGAAGATTTATACATGCATATATACATGGTGGTTGCCAACTCGTATTCGGGTACGGTCATTACTACATATCTTTTTTGGAGAATATCTACAGATGTGCTGAACGAATGTGGCTCTTTAGCCCAGCAAGGGACCTACATACTCTGGCAAAAACAATGCACTTAAGAGGTTCAACAGCGGGTGGTACATTATCATGCAATTTAAAATTTCGCTTGAATCCGCTTCTGGACCCGCATATATTACCACAAATATCACGGACGCCTACGGTTTTATAGTCAATTGCCACCTTCCGTCGGTGTGCTCTCCTTAGACCAGCCATCAACAAACACACTCTACCACAATCTGTACACGTCAGATCGAACTGCCTGCGGGAGACTTCCGGAAGTTCAACGGGGACGCTTTTACGAACATCTCTACTAAGCTTTGCGTGCCTCCTCTTCACATCTTCAAAGTGACGCTTTCCTCTACTAGCAGCCTCATTACAATTATTACGATCATATACACATTCTTCCCATATTTCCTACATGCTCACAAGGAATGCTGCATTTCTTCAACACACTCTTGATGCATATACACATTCAGATCGATAGATAGATAGATCGATGGATAGATAAAGAAAGAGAGAGAGAGAAAGAGAGAGAGAGAAAGAGAACAATAAATGTTACAGGAAAACCAATCTTTCTGCTACTGCGGTTTCGTCACTGCGGTGTCGTCAGGCAGAAATTCAGACCTTCCGTGACGTGAAGTCTGTCAGACGATACAGTGGGTGGCGAAAACGGAATGTTTTTTAGTTTTCCTGTAAAATTTTGTCTTGAATTGCTGCTTACTTTTGTTATTTGAATTTGCATTGAACAATTTATATATTTTTTATAGCCGTTTTTTGACAAATCGTTAATTTGTTAGGTTTTCTTCATTAAATTTTAAAAATCATATATATATATATATATATATATATATATAGTTGTGTGTGTATTCTGAACAATAAAGAATATTAAAAAAATGAAAATTTTCAGACACACTTGGTTATATATTAATATTTTTTTTATTTCAATTAGGTTCCTCAACTAGTTTCGTCCAGCATGGCCATCATCAGGAGAAAACAATCCCTGCTTTTTAGTAGCAGTGAACTACAGGAGTGAATGACTGTTTCTGAAAAAAGTGAAATTTATCTGTAGTTTTCATTTGTTTTTTATCGTTAATCTGGTCAGTCCTTGTGTTGGTTAAACAGCCTCTTTCAAGTTGTTTTTAAGCCAGAGGAGGAACTGATATATATATATATATATATATATATATATATATATATATATATATATATATATATATATATATATAAGATGGAATTGGTGTATACAGAATAAATTCCAAAACCAACAAAAGAGTAGAGCAAATACAATTATTTATTCGAAAATTATAACATAAATATGTTATAAATTCACTACAAAAATAGCAATTTTGTTTCAACACTTCTGGTGTTTTATGAAGTGAGGATGTTGAATGTAGAATAAAGGGTTTTAAAAAGTTCAAATCAATTAGCGAGCGGTGTCTGATATATATATATATATATATATATATATATATATATATATATATATATATAAATGCATACATGTATATATGTATGCGTGCTTGTGTGCATGTGTGTTTCGTTGATGAAGACAGACTGGCAATGTACTTGTCTTTTATTATGCTTTTTTTTGTGTGCGTACGAGTGCTATACAATTCATTAAGTACAAAAAAGTCACCAGTTGTACGAATACAAGAAAAAAACCTAAGAAACAAAAACAAGCAAATTTATCACTTTTTTTCAACATCTATTTAAAAGTTCTCTGCTCGACCCACTCCACGTAGCAACTGATGGATTTTACTAGCTTACATAGTTCTATTAGTAAGGCGTGGTCCTTTAGTTACCCTATTATAGAACACCCAAGAGTTAAACACCCTCAGTTAAAAGGGGGGGATTTCCTGTATAAAACTATAGTTCTAATACCTGTTTTATGTGATGGTTGCCTGTGATGGTAGCTCAAGTAGTTACCAATTTTTCCCCGTGTTTCAGCGCGTCATTGTCTTTTATTTTCCATTTTGCTTTTTTCCCCGCTCCCCGCATGTTTAACAAATATCAATGTATATTATAATGAATCAGGTGAAATTAAGAGATTTGAATGACGATCTTTTTTATTTCGTTTTTTAATTTTAATTTGAGAGAGAAACAAAGAGAGAGAGAGAGTGTGTGTGTGTGTGTGTGTGTGTGTGTGTGTGTGTGTGTGTGTGTGTGTGTGTGTGTGTGTGCGCGCGCGCGCGTGCGCATAGGAATCAGTACTGCTTGGTGACTGTCTGAAGATAACATTAAAATCTCAAACTGACAGTCACCATTCAGTGTTGATTCCTATATCTACAATTTCTATATTTATAATGGTTTGTTGCGAAACCCCTGTAGGGAAAGGTATGATATGGCCTGCGACTCCCAAATAAAGACGAGTCACAGGAGTCCCGCAAATATTTAAGAATAAATTACGCATATCTGACAGGAAGAGACAAGGAAATTAATGCTCAATTTATTTAACATAGAATTTTCAATAATAATGTTTAGGTTAAACGAACCAAAAAGAAATGTCAACACAAACATAAAGTAAGCAACGAACAATGAATTAAGTAAATGGAGGAAGAATTAAGTGAGCGGAGGAATACTGACTTTCATAGTAGAACAAAAATAAGATTACTAACAGAATCACAAACTGTACAAAAGAACAGAAACCACATTACTTGAGAACTTTCAAGAGAAGCAATGTTATTGTTATACTGGAACATACCTATTCTATTGTTAATAGACTCTCCCAGGTATAATAAGTAGTAGTAGTAGTAGTAGCAGTCGCCAGGGGTCTGAGTGGAGTTGATGAGTCAGTCGATGTCGGACATTAAGGTATGAACAACCACAACTAGATTGCTCCGTCATTAACTATTATTTTCAAGTTCCTAACGTTTTGTAGGTCGAACCTAATTTAGGAGCGACTTAGTGAAATACAAGCCTCCACTGTGAAAACTACTCTAC